AAGTCCTTTTTGGGGTCTAGTGAGTGTCACGTTGTTTTCTTTTTACTTTTGTGCTTTTTTATGGTGATTTTGCTGTTTAATGTGGCCCCCAAGAGTAGCACTGAAAAGCAGTCTAGTGTTCCTGAGCGCAGGAGGCTGTGACATGTTTCATGGGGAAAATACGGACTTAAATAAGCTTCATTCAGGCATGAGTCAGAATGCCGTTGGCCATGGAGTCAATGGTAGCGAATCAACATACACAGAGCGTGTCAAAAAAATGTATACACATTTTAAGAAAGGAAAACTATTAAAATTGAAATACTCAATATATACCGATAACAAAAGATGACTACAAGCCACGTTTGACTTCTGCAATCACAAAAGGTGTTCAAAGTGGTTGTCATCAGTGTCCGGATGCTTCTGACTATGGCAAACCACTGTTTGAGCAACGTTGACCAAAGTGTCCACTTGTATATATGTTTTTGGCATGCCTGGTATATTAAATAAGGTGTCTTTAAAAAGAAACACACATAAACAAGGTCATGTATTGATCGATTGATAAAAATGTGACCAGAGGCTCACGAGAACCTGACCCTGTATTTCCCCTGGGAGCGGTGGCACTAGCCAGTGTCTCACGGTGACGGCATAGAGCATAACTATTGTGAATAACAAGAATGGACTGTACACTTATTCTCTCATAGTTCCTGTGGGTCAGGAACCTGGGCAAGGCTTATGACTCGTCCTCTGCTCAAGGCTCAGTCAGGTGTCAGCCAAACTGTTCCTCTCAGGAGCCTGGGGTCCTCTCCAAACTCGCATGTTGTTGGCAGAAGTCAGCCCTTTGTCCCTACAGGGCTGAAGTCCTACTCCCCAGCTTGCTGTTAGCTGGGGCTACTTTCAGCGTCGAGAGGCCACTGGCCGCTCTCTGCCCCTTGGCCGTCTCACAGCATGGCGGCTCACTTCTTCAGCCCTGCAGGAGATCTTTTACTCCAGGGCCCTCTGAGGTTAGAAATTCACGAAGAAGTGCAGTGCAGACATTTTTAAATGATTAAAGTGGTGACTTCAAAGGATCTCAGTCGGTCTACACATCATTGAAACTGTGGGGCAAGGGACCAGGGAGGCCCTCCTTTGTCCTATTTCGCTTTTACTGAGAGTTCTTCAAGGGGCCCCTGTTACATGGTGTGATTTCAGTGGAATGGGACTGGAAAGGCCCAGAATTACAGAAAAATTTCTATTCACCTTGAGCTGGGTCTCCGTCAGTCCACGCCGAGCCCACAATGCGCATGTCACTGCCTGACAGACCCACGGATGAGGTGCTCAGAGAGGCCTGTTCTGCTCCTGGATACTGGGGTTCAGTAACAATTGGGGTGAAGGGTGGGTACAGGGCATCCAAAGTTGTTCGGTTATGGGTTTGTATGTCATTACAGGGAGCCCCAAAGGCGCTATAATTATTTTCCTAATACCTGATGGTTCACTCAGAGCTCCTGGGGCAGCCTGAAGTTACCTAAGCTTCCTCCTTGCACTAGAAATAATGACAGGAATCGGGTTTTGGAGGTGTCTCCCAAGTACCTTTGTGTGTGTGTGGCCCAATTAAGGTCCAATTTGGGAAGAATACACATCAATAGAGCTTTTTCTGATGAAGAATTGCTTTCAGACTGTGGCCCTTTTGTTTAAAAATGGCTTTGTTTCTCTTTTATTTGGAGTCCAAAAGCCATTAGCCATCGAGCCCCTGCCCCTTCCAGGGCCACTCGGACACAGGCTGCAGATGGCCAGACAAAGACTGGCCGTTGTGCTCCAGGCCGCCTTCCTCTGACAGCGTCTTTCACTAACATTTGCTTTTTCAAAGCCATCTTTCCTGAACAAGGGCTCCTTTCTATATAGATGACTCCTAATAACCCCCACTTCCCGCCTGTAAGGATAGCTGTTTCTAACCCTTTACAGAAACATATTCCCAATTCTACGTTCAGCTGAGCGGCCATGGCTTCTCTGCAGAGTCACCGAGTACTAATAGCTTCACAGTCCTGCCTGACCAAACCAGGTCTTATCTTGCAGATTCAATGTTATTTCTCTGCCAAGTGAAGAGGCTGCGTTCCGTGACCTCCTGGTTCCTCGTTTCCACTCTGAAATGCTAACACGGGATCTGAGGCCACAGGGTAACCAGGCTGTGCCCAGGCTTCAGCAGTCCATGTCACCAGAGGGGCTCACTGGACATTCAGATTCCTGGGCCCCAGGCAGACCCACCCGACCAGAGTCTCAGGGGCAGAGCCTGGGAACTTGTATTTATAGCGCGTCCCCCAGAGGTTTCCCACTTGCAGTCAGCTGTGGGAACAACTGGGTGGCATTTGTTTAGGAAGCTCGCTAGGGCAGCATGTTTCTGCGTGTGAGAACAAGCAGCCCGTTTAGAACAGCAGGGGGAAAACCAGCTTATTCTACTGGCTAGCAGCCTCTGTCTTTCTTTCAGACACAGGTGTCTTAGTATTTCGTCCAAGAAGAAAATAGATAGCTATGGGAAACCATGAGCTCTTACTGGAGGCACCAGCCTCTCTACCCCCCAGCTTTTATCCAGGCGTCAACCTCAGAGAAGAGCAAATACAATTTCAGAGGGTCCTGACCACCAACATTAGGACAACTGCAAGACGCAGAGTGATTTACAAGTGAATGTTGCCCGTCTTCATCTTGATAGCTCCGTCCTTTCTGTCACTCTACCTGAAGAGGTTGAACCTTGCTATCGTGGAGTCTTATTTTCTGTGGGGGCTGGAAGGCAGCCTCCCTAGTCATGGACCTGGCTTTCACCCATGGGGACACAAGTCAGGACTGTCTCAGGAAAGCAGTCGGTGTCACTCATTCCTGTTTTGAGGACTGAGGGAGGCTCAGGGACCACGGTGCCCGGGGAATGGAAGGCAGGCCGTCTGCGTTTCACGGTCCTGAAGCTATTTCTCACGGAAGGCATACCAGATTTTTACCCACGTCGATGAATGAAAGAACCTTTGGTTCTGGCGCTCTTTATTACAGAGGAAAAATACACAATGAAAGAGTTTACCTGCAACCCCACCCATGATGAAATAATGAATGGTCCGTGCTGGGCGGTCTGGGAAAGCAGGGTGCATGCCGCTGCCTTCTCTTGAGGTGTCCAGGTGTGGGGAACCTCACCTCCGGGAGGACTCAGGCATTCGTGAACATGTCCAGCTCTCCCGGTAGGATCTGGCTGAGACCTCAGCATGGGGCCTGCTCTATTCTAACAACTGAGGGTATCACTCTGAGGTTGCCGAATCTCCCAGGGGAACCACGTGGTAACGGTTTCTGTGCGTCATCCCTGATGTGTGGCAGGGATGAAAGTGCCTTGTGTGCTACGGCGTGTTTGATTTGCTTCCCAGCAAAACTTGTGCTGTTTGTTTTTTTGTCCTTGTGAGTATCACTAAGAACAATGATGAGTGAACAGAAAATGGTCTAGTAACCTGGATTAGATAAGCTCAAGGAGAGCTTCTACCAAAGCTTCTCAAAAAGGGTCTCACAGTCTCAGAAAGTGAGCTTGACACATGTTTTGCCCTCGCCCAAGTGAAATATTCAGTTCTGCATCTCTTTTTATGACAAAATCTTTGAGTTGCCAGAAAAGAGCACCCTCAGAGCTTCAGAATAGGACCTTCCTGGGACGGCTCCCTTGTCCTCATGACCACGTGATGAACCAACTTGACCCAAAAGATCAGGCCTGAGAAACCATATTGTCATGATGTTAAGGTGTAGTTAGCACTGGGTGTCTATTCCAGGCCACCCAAAAGTCAGGGACACTCACATGTGAACTTCTAACCTCAGCCACATGAGGAGGAGGAGACAAAGGGAGATTAGAGAAGCCCAGGAGAGGTGACCTGGGAATGCAGCCCAGCTGCTAAAAGGCAACCCTCTCAGAATCCATACCCTATGCCGGATCTTTAACATCTTGATTTAAGAGCTTGTTCCAGCCCTGAGGAAAATACGCTGGGCTCCCTCCCAGGATGTCTTAACCTTCAGCACAAGGGCCAGCAAGCTTTCTCTGTTAAAGGCCAGAAGTTCCAGTCAACTCTGTCATTGGAGCATGAAAGCAGTGATGTGTGGCTTTGTTCCAATAAAACTTTATTTATAAAACTAGGCGGTCAGTCAGACGTGGCTTGAAATGGATGTGGGAAAGGTCCAGCTGGTCTTCAGTGGTGAGAGCCATGGGATTGGACTCCCAGGCCCTATTGGCAGTCACACTCTCCGCCATGGAGAAAGCTGGGAGGAGAGGGGGCAGCACAGTGGAGACAGGACGCGCAGAGTGGAGCTCTGGGCAGGCAGTTGCCTGGTGGCAGTTATTCCTAAGCCCATCTTGATTTCATTATATGAGACAACTCAAATTCTTTCTCATAAGTTGCCCTTTTGTGCTCCAGCCAGTACGAACTGAATTTCTATTATTTGTCACTGAAAGAATCCTCATGTATCCTGCAGCTCATATCCTATAGGACCCAATTATCCCCAATAGCTGGAACCGAAGCTTCTCCTGGCTTCTGGGTACGCGTTCGGTGCTCAGTCTTACTTCAGATGCCTCAGTTCCAAGGAGTTTGCTGGGTGCCCTCTGCACTGATGGCAACACAGTTCCTGTTTCAGAGACGGCACCAGCCCACACTGACCGGCCAATTCCAGAAGGCGGCCACAGCGGCTGTAGTTCTTTCTGTTATAAGCCGAGACACTAATGATGGTCTCAGCAGCCTCAGAGCAGTTGTCTGCCTTGAGGAGATCAATCATTCTACAGGATAGAAAACATAAGAACCAAACTCACCTGAGCAGCATTCTCCCAGACAGGTAGGTGCTCCTTCACTCACACCAGTTTCCTGGACGGGCCTACGGCTGAGAGAGTTGTCCAAGGTCAGGCTTTGGTCTGCAGCCCAGAGCAAGCCAGACTCAGCCAGCACTGGATTTTCAGAGTGGAGTGACCCATGCTCTGTCACAAGCTTGCGGCTCACCTTAGGCCCTCGCTGTCCAGCTACTTCAATCCCCTGAACAAAGCAGGGCGAGCGGGGCACCTGGGTCCCTCCTGGGACTCGTGGTTCGTCATCTGCAGCAGCTGAGAATTGACAAAGAACCTCTAGTCCTTGTCCCACACTCAGCTGTCATCCGGTGTTTGGGGACGCAAAGGCCCGGGTGAGGGGGCCTCACTCACTGCCACAGTCCTTTTATTTCACAACTTTGCCGGGTGGTGGGCCACACACATCTGATGGCCACAGCCAGGCTTGGGCAGGGTGGGGGTGAAAAGCCGTCTGCTTTCCCAAATCTTCAGCCCTGAAGTTGTGATAAAATGACGTCACCAGCTTTCCACAGAAGCTTCTTTGTTCGCGTGAGAGCCTCAGAGTAAAGGCCAGATAAGCAGCTTTCCCACACTGGGTGGCATTGCATCTGTGACGTGGGTTTGTTATCAGTGCTCTGAGAGGAGGGTGGTGGGAAGCAAGACGCTGACTTGCCCTTAACCTTCAAGAAAACCACCAGGAACGCCAGCCTTTGCTACGTTTGCACTTGTGTCTCAGAACCTGCCCTTTCTTAGGTCCCCAGATGACGACTGGGAGAGGAAAGGCCGTGTGGCCGGAAGGCCAGCCTGAAGTGAGCCACTGTGCTACTGCAGGGACAATGCTGGTGCGCAGATTTCTAGCACAGGCTTCGTTATGTCAACCAGTGCTTGCAGGGTTTCAGTGGGGGAGCCTCCTTTTAAAGGGAATCTTGAGTAAGAAAACTCAAGATGTGAGTGCAGTCAGCGCAAGGAGAGGTTTGGGGCTGAGCGTGTGTGGGTGCTGGGGTCTCGCCTGCGGGGGCTCCTTTCCCAAGAGCTGTCTATGGGGTCTTGGCAGAGCAGAGTATGAAATCCTCCGGTGCCCATAAAAAGATATAGTGTTAATAAAAATCAAGTACAGGTTAAATCACACCTGCTTTGTGTAATGTATGCACAAAACAAAACTTGTTTAACATTCAAAAAGCGATTACACCATCATAGCTGAAGGCAACTTGAAAAGGTCCTTAATTTAGAAGGCTCCAAACTGAAAAGTTACTGATTGGCTGAGATTCCCCCGTTAACCTACTCCTGCCTCTGCTTGCCACACTCAGAGCTGGGACCTCACAGCTGCCCCCAACACACACATACACACACACACACGTGATCGTACACATGTGCACACACATGCACACACACATGCACGTACACACACGTGCATGTGTGCACACATACACACATGCACACACGTGCGCATGCACACATGCATACACACACACAAACGTGCGCACACTCACACACACACATATGCACACACACGTACATTCATGCACATGATCCGCCCTACCCCAGGACTTGAGCTGAAAGGAACACTGTTTAGGGGACATGGACTTCAGCCCATTACCTAGGCGGTCTTATTGCTTATCCTGACTTCCTAGAAGGTTCTTTCCTTGCAGCTTCTAACCAAGTGTGAGAGAATCAGCTCCCTGCAAAAACCAAACACAAGCTATCAAGGGGATCAACTCCCTTTGATATCAAATCACAAGACTCAGGGATAGAGGTGGGCCCAGCTGGGCAGCGGCTGCTCCGTATACCCAGGAGGATGACCGCGCCATCAACAATGACAGTTATTAACGGCCTCCTGTGAGGGACCCACTGTGCACGGGGCAGGCTTTTCCATGGGTTTGTGCATTTGACCGCAGAGAGCTTTCTCTCCAGGCTTCTGGTCAGCTAAGCCCCAGGATGGGGTGGGTCTCGTTTTCACCAAGACGCCCCTTCTGCTGCGTCAGGCTTCTCTTTGGCTTTAACACCGTCATTGGGCCTGAGCCTTGCTCTTCAGCATCTGAACTCTTGCTTTAGTGTCCCCGTGGGCACACCAGAGTCTCCAGGACTAAGGTTTCTGTCGTCAGTCTTCTTGGGCCTGAGAGTCCACTGACATTCGCGCTGCTGTGCCACCTGCCCTGCTAAACCTCCGCCCGTTCCCCATTGTCCGACTCTGCTGAGGTTCTCCTGAGCTCGCACACGGCCCTCCATTAATGGCGGCCTGTGTTCCTTAAGGTGCTGGCTTTACATTGACTAATATTTCATTTTGAACCTTCTAAGCACTAATCTATCCCCCTAATAATAACAGAATAATAATGAACATTTATTGAGGGGTTAGCACTTACAACACTCTGTGTGGATTATCTCACTCATGTAAATGAATGGCCTCATTCAGTCCCTCTAACAAACATTTGTCCCCACGCAACAGAGGAAGAAACAGGCTTACCTTGTTTGCTTTGCTGGGGTCATACAGCGGGAAAGTTCAAACCCAGATGTGTTTGCCCTGGATGCTGAGTGTGTAACCATTGGGGCTTCGGTCTAACAATCACGTAAAACAACATTGTGTTTCTACTGTTTTGTTTTTGTGGTAATTGTTGTTATTTGTTGGTTTGTTTTTAATGTTTTCAGGATCACATACTTCGGTGAATGGTCTTCATGTCAGAGGAGGGTGAACTGGTGCATGACAGTGGACGCCAAGGGCTGACCCATGTCCTATGTGATCAGTCTGTGGGACTGTGTGGCCTCCATAATATACTCTTATCTGCTTGCCAATGGAGAGGGTGCTTTCTCGTGAGGCACGAGCCACAATCTGGATGCTCCAAGAAGGGCAGCACGCTTCCCTGTCTACCTGCTGGACCCACTCCACTCCCCTGCTTACAGAGCCAGGAAATGTCGTATCTGGGTCCTTCAAGAACAGAACCAGCTGGAACCTGAGTTACGAGTTCTTCTGATGGTTGGAACCACACTCAGTGCAAGTCCTTGGGTTCCACTGGAGGGATTGGGCGTGTTTGGTCAGCTGGTAGTAACATAGTTTCTGTAGGGATTGTGATGATGCATTAAAAAAAATGAATAAGACAAAAATAATTTCCTTCACGGACCTCATAATCTAATAAGGAGGTTAAGACATATCTTCAAATAATAGCAAAGAACAGGAGCTTTCGCTTTGCAAAACAGCTTCGCAGCAGACTCAAAGGGAAGTACAACAAGGAAAGTCTGATGTAGGTATTGGGAAATTTCTAGAAGGGGCACAATATATGATTGACCTGTGTGTCCCTCCTGGGAAGAGGTACCTTGACCATAGGTACCAGGCCAGGTGGGATCCCATGTGGAGCACACAGGATGTCCAGCAACGCTGAAGGGAAGACATCCATCCATCTTCCTAAAAGCATCCACTCCCCACAGACGC